CTAAACCTCCATGCTACTGTGAAATATTCAGCTATATTTGGAATTGCAGACTGTCAAAATCAGATTTGGAATGCAGGACATGAATTATTCCATTTGTCATGTTTGACTCCTTTTTTCTTGTTTAAAATCGTATGAGGGCTTGAGAGCATTCTTAATCACAATGATATTATATTTATACAAGAGACACTACTGAAAATAGAAAATTTGGAAAGAATTTGGAAAACAGCACAACAGCAAAAAAGAAAGCACTCACAAAAGCACTTTAAACCAGATAAAAATAGTTATGAACAATCTGTTATTGCCAATTGTTATAGCACACTGAATTTAAAGTGTTTTCTTTAATTGAATATCATATATTGTAAAGATACAATGTAATGTGTGCAAGTTTCCCCCCTTCTGTAAAATATATTTCAGCAATAGAATGCTTGCTGCTCCTCCTGTTATTAAAAATAATTTGTATGACTTTTTGTATGACTATCCATTTATTGATCAATATCTGACTTTTCATGTTTCCACTTTTACATTTATAACTTATGATCTGTAACTGTCTTTACAATGAACCAACTGAAATCCAAAAACAAGACAAAAATGCTTTAATAGGCAGGTCCAAAAATAATTCTGCATTTTAAACTGAGCTGTTGCATGGTAAAGTACAAACACAAAGTTAAAACCAAGTTAAAAAATAAATCCAACCAAGAACACATTTATTCCTTTATATTTTGGTACTGGAAAAGAAATACAAGTACTACTCTAGAAGCAGACAATTTGTAAATTCAAACTGGCCTATCATCATCAACTCTATCAAACAAATTCAGGTAAAATAAGAAACCAAAAAAAGAACTTACTGCCTTTGGTATCTCCAGAAGAACCTACTCTGACATAACATTTCCAGATCTGTCGAAACAAAAAGCAAAGAACCACTGTACACATTGTCCAAATCCTTCATTTCACAGCATGTTCAAAGAAATTCAAGTCTATTCCTTTCGAATGCTCACATCTCCCGGTCACCAATACACAGATGAAAAGCTGATGTTCCTTATGTCGGGCTGCATTACTCTAATACTGTGTGACGGTGTGCTTTAATCACTGCAAGACATCATATTAACACTAACATTTTCCAAATCAAGATTTTATTTTAAAAATGTTAACAGGGGCAAAAACAATATTTAACAGGGGCAAAAACACTTTTTAACTAAATCTCATCAAATGCATTTGCTCAGGAAGTAAGGGCTGCACGTGAAGAAATAACTCAGTCAATTCTGCAGCTCCATGCCAGCTCTCTGAGAAGATTACAGTAATAGTATCATCCCGGTCTCACTGCAATGATCACGGAAAGCCATGTTCAAAACCAAATAGATCTACTTATTTTTCTCTCGACTTTGATTTCTAGGCCAGTACTGTGTTAATGCTTGGACGATGCAGTACCAAAACAGCACAAACGTTTATGATAAATTAATTTTCATCAGGGGAAAATGCATCAGAGCTGCAGCTAGTGATGTGTGGAGATGTTCCGTATACCAGAAGCTACTGAAGTCTAGAAAGAAACTAACCTTGTGGGACAGTGCCTTGTAAGCGAAGTGGGGCACCAGTCTGGAGGTCTTCGTGATTTACAACAATGAAAAATTGTAATACTAATTTAACAAATGCACAGAGTTAAACTGAAAAACATGTTTTTTCTATACACAAATCAAAACTATTACCCATGATTTTTTTTACACTGACAGAGCTATTACTTGTACTGTACCTCTTCTTGGTGATGTTTTGAAACTGTTGGGTTTAATTGGGGGTGTAAAGAAACTCAAGGATAAAAATGACAGATGTTATTCCTTGCACACCCTCACTTTCCAAATAAAATATCTCCTAGACGAGGCTGCAAACCCTTTGACCACACACAGGTGAAGAATGAGAATGTACAGTACAGGCAGAATCTATCCAACCTGCACACCCTTGAGCCACTTGTCTTAAGACTTGGAGGTTCAGCACCAACTAGAAGAGAGACTCGCCGTACCCAAGACCTATGGCTGCCTGATTCCAATGATCCTCCAAGGCATTAAGCCTGTACAGGAATCTGGTCACAGTCGGCTAATGACATGACCTAGGCTTGAACCCATAAGCAAAAATCTCAAGTTTCAAGATTTCTTTATTTACCATATGCAACACATGTATTGGAATGCTTACTCGTTCAGCTGTACCCAGTAACATTAGAGAAAGAAAAAAAATGCACAAACGACAAACGGACAATAAATTCAGACAATAGACTTAATTATAATACAGCCAAGACAGGACATAGTGCAAACAGTGCAGTACCTTAAAGTCCAGGTGCTAATTTGAGCCGTTTATGATGCAGACTGCTTGGGGGAAGAAACTGTTTTTGAAACTATCTGTCAGTGTTGCAATACTGTGATACCTTCTACCAGAACCCAGGGGTGAAAACAGATCGTGGCCAGGGTGAATTGGGTCTGGAAGTATAGCTCGAGCCCGGCTGTGGCAGCAGTTGATGGACGATATCATATCCGGACGATGGAGGGTAGCTCGGTCCCATTGATTTCCTGTGCGGACTTCACCTCCTTATAACGCCTGAGCCTTTGACATATTAACAATACGGGGTAATATTTTTATCCCCCAACCCAGGTGTATGTAAATCTGAGACGGTTGGGTAGGCTAGTTGATTAGGCTACTTTGTCACAGAATGACACATGCCATTTTTCCTTTTTTGAGCTCCTTCATCAAAATTGGCCATGCAAGTTTCAAAACATCCCAGTTTTAGCCAGCAGCCACATCACCCTGCAACTCACAACTGGTAGCCCACTTAAGCTCAGCAGGTGTGAGTACCTGGAGTGGAGACTCCTGGGAAAAAACTAAGGTTGCTGCTGGTAGAGGTGTTAGTGGGGCCAGTGGGAGGCGCTCACCCTGTGATCAGGAAGGGTCCTAATGCCCCAGTATAGTGACGGGGACACTATACTGTAAAAAGGCACCGCCCTTCAGATGAGACATAAAACTGCGGTCCTGACTCTCTGTGGTGATTAAAAATCCCAGCGTGTTTCTTGAAAAGAGTAGGGGTGTAACCCTGGCATCCTGGCCAAATTTCCCATTGGCCTTTACCAATTATGGCCTCCTAATAATCCCCGTTTATGAATTGGCTTCATCGCTCTGCTCTCCTTCCCACTGATAGCTGATGTGTGGTGAGTGTTCTGGCGCACTATGGCTGCCATCGCATCATCCAGGTGGGGGCGGCACATAAGTGGTGGAGGGGAGTCCCCATTACCTGTAAAGTGCTTTGAATGGAATGTCCAGAAAAGCGCTATGTAAGTTTAAGCCATTATTAATGAAATATTATAATTAAAACATTTTTTAGGATTATAATGTAATTTATGATGTTTGCGTTCACAATACAGTATGCTTTGAAGTATATTTTATAACTGTACAGGCCGAATCCAAAGCCAATGTTTAGGAATTCAAGGAAGCAGACATTAAAGGAATGAGAATAAGAGAAATGAATTGAGATAAGATATGAAACCAGTGGAGAAAGGATGGTAAGAGTTTCAACAGATTTTTTCCTCAAGTCATTTAAAAGCTGAAAAAAGGTATCTCAAACGGTTCAAAATATGAACTCAGAAAAATGTAAGGGAAAAGAAAGGGCTTAAAATTAGAACAAACCGACAGGATCCCGGTAAAGAAAAGGAGAACAATGAATTACAAGCACTGGTAAGAAAGGCTATTTTAAAGGCTAAAAGAAAAGGGAATATTACAATGGATGCTAAAATGCAGCTCTTTCAATCGGATAGTCACTAAGGAAAAAGTTAACAACATGCCTCAAGCAGTGGAAGAACAAAGTTCTATTGAATAGTATAAACACGGTGACAAAATTGACCCTTTTGGCCTCAACGCTAAGAACTACTTTTGGTGCAAGAGTAATACCACACATCATCCTGAGGATACCATCCCTACCATGAAGCATGGTGGTGGCAGCATCATGCTACGGGATCCGTGCTGCATCAGAGATGGAGATGGACAAGTTTCTTGGGCAATTAGCTAGTAACTGCACATATGTAATAATCAATTTGCTACAATATGAAAAGAGTAGTTTTCTTAATACTCCAAATACTGTATTTACATAAAAAATGTAAATTAAAAACATCCATTTCAGAATTTTAACTCAAATATCATTTTAGTTTTACTGGTTATGAAAGATTATTTTAATTTTGGTATGTTAGTAAATATTCTGCTAATTCACAAAATAAATCTTTATAAAGTACGTCTTAATTACATCTGTAAGCGAGATAATATTTGATCACTTCAGTGAGCCAATTTCTGTCTGGAATTTTCACCCCTTAAACATTTTGTTATATCTCTGCAGCAGAACATAACAGAGGCTGGTTCAGGTCTTAAATTGAAGCTAAATTAGGTAAAACACACAGTAAACTTTAAGTTGAAATTCAGCTAAAGACAGTAAGTTGTTCTGCCAACTACTATTAATTTTTAGGTAAACACCCCAAACAATTTATCATCCAACACATGTGAGTAGGTAAACCTCTATTCTATGAAAAATAAAAGCCTATACACTTCACAAAATAGGGACTAAGATATACAAAGCTAACTTTAAACTACACGCTGTAATGACAGAAACATATATTAAAAGAGAAATTCTGGGCAAACCATACTTTGCAGAAAACCTCTGGTAAAAATAACATACAAATATTAGTTCAAGAAGAGAAGAAAACAGGTGTCTGTTGAAAGAAATACTGTATTTCTATTCACACCCTCCTGAATGGTCAATTTTATTCCAAGCAGACTTAAGTGCATCCTGTACTAACTACAGTGCCAAATTATAACCACACAATTACGTCACTGGGCAGCTTTTGATGTTGTCATCACTTTTGGTTTTGTGGCGAGTTTATACAGAGAGTCCTTTATAAATATAAAGAAGGCCTTCTTATGATGTGCTTGCATTTTCATCTCACTGCCTTGGGAAAACTTTCCTTAATCCTTTTGTGGTAACAACACTGATATTTCTTGGTTAGTCAGAGAAAGATAATTAGTAGGTTTTTTTTTTCTAAAATGAGGTCAAGCATTCATCCAGCTCCATTAGTTCCTAAACAAACAAGTGATGTGCAACCATTAAGTAATAAATATATGAGACTAACCTTAACCTCCTTATTTATAAATACAGTAAACTACAAAGTAGTGTGTGCTATAATTTAAAAGCCTTACATAACAACTTGAGCTTGTTTTTCACTCCTGTGTTCCATCCAATGTTTTTCTAACGCCAGCAGCTTTCTTTACAACATTCAACATTCAATATGTTTTATCTTTGCAAGATTCTTGGCTTAAGACAACTTTAAAATGTTAAGGCTGAAATCTTTTCTACATTTGTTGTGGCTAAATAATAGTGAAAATGTAAATAAGCTGTTTGACAAAAACTAAATTTCTACAATGTTCCAATGCTCAAAACTTCATAGTGCTCTAGTCCTTAATTTATGAATGCCCTGTATTACAGTATGTCAAGAGACTCACATATAACTTGGATTATTTAGACTTCAGACATAGCAGCGGCATTCTTATTAAAATATCTCTAGTCATCATACAGCTAGCAAACATATGTCCAATGCCTTAATTGTATTAATTTTAGAAAAATAAATGTGTTTACAACCAGAAACCTTCTACTGTTCACATTGAAAACTTTAGGGTGTGCCATCTGTTCCCACTTCTTATAACACAGCTTCTTATTAATCTCTTCTGTCAATACATTCACTGCCATAGCTAACGAGTTTTTAAGCCTCCTTCATTCTGCATAATGTCTAAATAATCTTATGATTCAATTAGTAGCAACCATCTGTAAATCAAAGCCCCTCATACTCAGTTCTGTCATTGACATGCAAAAACCCTGAGCAAAA